GAACGCACACAACAGAGCACCACAGACAAACCACTTAACTCAGACTGACGCCAGCTCACTAACAGTCACGGGAGACCCCCAGCTAACACCACCTAGCAGCACAACTCGTAACTACAAAGCATGCGCGCGCAACAGGTTGTTTCCAGTTATTTTTGGGTCCCCCTTCGTATTTCTCTATTAATATTATACTCCACCTACTTTGAGGTTTTCCTAGTTGTCACTTTCCATGTGATTTTTCCACCAAAATCATGTATGCATTCCTCCTCTCTGCCATGCATGCTACATGCCATTGCTATCTAATCTGCCTTGATATAATCATTCTATAATTTGATTTGACCAGGCGTACAAGTTATGAAGCTCCTCATTATGCATTTTTATCCACCCTTATAATATTTTATCCTTCCTTGGTCCAGATGTTCTCCTTAGTACCCTCTTCTCAGACACTCCCAGTCTGTTCTCATCCCTTAATATCAGTAACAAACTTTCCTGTACATACAAAACTACATACAAAATTATAGTTTTTTATATTTTAATCTTTGCATTTTTAGATAACAGAAATGAAGACAACACGATCTGAACTGAATGACAGCAAGCATTCCTCAGATTTAACCTGCTCTTAATTTCCCCATAAATAAAATGAGATTTGTTAGTGCCATTCCCAAATATTTGAACTTCATCAAATTTTTGGTGTATCTATCAGTTATCTTTATGTTGTGATTTTATCCTGCATTCCAGTGACAAGATATCAGCATATACTTAAATTTTCCCATATTACCTCCTAGACCAACTTTCATACTAATGACAATTAGAGCTTCTGTTGTTTTCATTACGGTACGCATCTTATCTGCCAATAGCTTTACATCATCAGTGTACTAGACCAGAAGCAGATGTGTCCCATTCAGTTTCAGTTCCACCAGGTTTCCATGGACCAGAGTTATGATGTGTGTCTGTAGCATTATCTCCACACTGACAGATAGGATATCTGTGTCTGTATATTTCTGGCTATAGACAAGACAACCAAGTTTTGATTCCTGGCAGGGGTAGAGGTTCTTTTTACCACAAAGTCTGGAATATGTGGCCACAAGCCTTCTGTGAAATGGGTACTGGACTGTCTGACTCCAAAGTAATGAACAAAGTTTTCCTGGATATCTAAATCCTGATTATTGGGTGTACAACAGATAGCACACATTGGACTGCCAAATTTTCTGCAGTAAGAGTGACAGTTAAGTTATTTGCTCACATATTATTTGTCAAGAGAGAGAGGTGGCCATGCACTCAGATAAGTTTCGTGTGTTTACAGCTTTGTGAGAAGGTGGAGGTACATTTCGTGCCTGGGAACCATGTGACAATGCTGGACAAGAAGGAGACTGCTGCTATCATCAACAGGCCAGTGGCAACTTGTGAGCATCAGTGATCACTGATCAGCAGTTACTGTCCAAATAATTTCCTTTGGTCAATAAGAAACAACTTAAGCTGTTATTTGACATATAAAGTACTTATATTTTTCTTATGTGAGAACAAATTTTGGGTCACATACATGTTTTCATAATATTATGTGATTTATATTTGATTCTTTATAATATAAATTCCTGGTTGGAATTTTCTTTTATCACAGTAAATCCAAGAAAATACCAGGAGAGTAGTACTTGATCCACCCACATTACTCACTTGCACAGAGATATATGCCAATGATATGTCTTTGTGATAGTTGATAGTCATAATCTAGTAATTATGTATAATTGTTAGTGGTGTGGCACTAAGTCCCTTGTACTGCAGCCACTTCTGGCCTATTGTACCAAATTACGTATAATAGTATAATAGATTAGGATGTGCCATAGCTCAGGCATTAGGCCTGCTTTTCACCATAGAGCCTAGAGTTCAGTGTACAACAACTTTTCTTGAGATTTAATGGTTGAAATTTCACTCAAGAATGTTTTCTCTTTCTTCAGTTTTCCCCTCCTATTCATCATTCTGTCATTGCTCCATGCTCATCTGTCACTGCCTCCTGAGGTGTGCAATAGCCCTGATCAGGCAGCACGTTATCATATCCTAGGTTTTCAAGTTCAGGGCTTCATCATAGTAAGGAAATGGTTTAAGACACAATAAATCAACGTTTAAATTAATGTCTTAATTTTTCATATTAAGCATAAAGCATTGTCTTAAATTTTAATATAATAAAAGTGATTTTTAAAAGTAGATTTTTTACACTGTCATTAGAACATTATGTGTTATGACCAAGTATTTTTTGAAGATCGAAGCGGCCTAGGTTGTACCACCATTTTTTTAAGAATGACTACATAATGGGTGGGAAATTTCATACACACACACACACATGCACGCACACATTTCATTAATCTGAAATTCATCGATCGACAGGTGAATGTGAAACATGTCAGGAGATGTACGTGAGGCAATCCAAAAGTTTCCGAAATTTGAATTTTGCGCGCGAATGGTTATGAGTACATCGAAATACCGCTAGGTGTCTCCTCACATCCTTCTTGAATCAGTGTGGCAAGCGGCGTCGAGTTGAGTGGTTGGGTTTATTGTTGGTGAACGTATTTCCATTGTTGTGTTTCCGTGAGTTTGCGGTTTTGCAATGGCTGACCTGAGAGAGCAGCGTGTCTGTATAAAGTTTTGTTTCAAACTTGGGAAAACCGCTGCAGAAACGCACCGAATGTTGAAGCAAGCTTTTGGTGACAACAGTTTAGTCCAGACACAAACTTACGACTGGTATAAATGTTTCAAAAATGGCCAAACATCGACTGATGATAACGATCGTTCGGGACGTCCGTCAGCTGGTACCAAACCAGAAAATGTCATGAAAGTTAGGGATCTGATTCTGCAAGGTCGTAGACTGACCATCCAAGACCTCTGTAACACCTTGTGACTAAGTTATGGTACATGTCAACGAATTTTGTCAGAGGAACTGAACATGAGGAGGATTGCAGCGAAGTATGTGCCATGACTGCTGCAAAATGAACAGAAGGAACATTGCTTGGAAGTCTGCAGGGAACTTCAACAACAGCTTCAAGAGGATCCAAACTTTCTTTCGAAGGTTGTCACTGGTGATGAAAGTTGGGTTTATGGCTATGACCCTGAAAGCAAGCAGCAATCGTTACGATGGAAGAGGCCTTCTTCACCTCGGCCAAAAAAAGCTCGACAAGTCACGAGCAACATTAAGTCCATGTTGATCTGTTTTTTTTTTATATTAACGGGATTGTTCATAAGGAGTTCATCCCTCCTGGTCAGACAGTCAATAAAGAGTTGTATCGCGATGTTCTAAGGCGTTTGAAGGAGAACATGAGGAGACAACGTCCAGAGAAGTGGCGCACGAATGACTGGCTACTCCACCATGACAATGCACGACCGCATATGGCTTACATTGTGCAGGAATTTTTGGCTAAAAACAAGATGGCAGTTGTTCCCCACCCACCATGCTTGTCAGACTTAGCTCCATGTGACTTCTTTCTCTTCCCCTAGATGAAAATTAAGTTGAAGGGGCGAAGATTTGATACAGTTGAGGAAATTCAAGCAGAAACGCAGACGGTACTAAACACCCTAACAAGGAAAGACTTCCAGGATGCATTTGAAAAGTGTCAGAAACGCTGGGATCGGTGTATGCGCTCCCAAGGGACTACTTTGAAGGTGATGGTGCAGAATAAGATCTAGGTATGATGTAATGGTTTTTATTAATATATTTCGGGAACTTTTGGATTGCACCACATACATTGTACAATGCAACTTGAGGAAAAGAGTCATTATGTACACAGTACATATATGATAAAGTAAATACAGAATCTAGTATAACAAAAAAGTTACTTCTATAACCAGAGCTCTAGTCCTGCTGTTGTCAGAACACCTTCAAAAGGCTAAGCTGTTTTTATTGTTTCTGGATTACATGCTCTCCAATTTTCTGTACTTATTCTTGGGTATCATGTTTAAATGATAATGTAACCATAAAATAAAAATTCTGAAATGAAACAGTTTTGGGCTATTGTAGGAATGAACTGCTAAGTGAACATCAGTTATGCAGCAGGCCATGAGGAGAAGAGCACTCTTCTGTTTAAATATACATTCTCTGTTCTATGATTATGTTATAATATTTTGAGGAGGATGTGTGAAGTATAGTATGCTATATCAAGGATATGGTTTACTGTCAATTATTTGTGCATGTTATTTGTGGTAGATGGCATTAAGTGTCAGCCGCATAGTATCCTTTTATAACATGTAGGACTGGGAATAAATACATACTACTCAAGTGAAGTTTATTACACAGATGCATATATGCATCATGAGACTTCCCATTAAATTCTTAATGGATATTACACTAGGACAGTTTAACATAGTGCAATATACATAATGGAGAATATGTTCCATCCACTACATCCTTCTTGATTTGATCACCATATCTGTGATGTATGGCGCAGTACTGAGGTACAAGGAGAACTTCATCTATTTCTCCTTCTTCTTCTGAAATTTCCTATTTTATGTCACAGACACCTCTGCTGTTCTTTCCTTCTGTGTGACATCTTTCTTATCCTATTGTTCCCTTTGTCATCTTGGTCTTTGAAGAAAAGGATAAATTCTCATAAAACACGTAATTTGTTTAGTGCAATTTATGAATACACTCATCTACTTTTCCTCCTACTTTTGTTTGTTATTGTTTATTATTAGCACTTTGTTGTCCATCATCCTCAATCTTGGGTCTCCTCATTATGAAATATATAATCTATTGTGGGAACATCCCACATTATCACGCATTTCTGCAACGCTCGCTCTTCACATCACTTTTCACCATCACGCGCGCTAACCAACCAGATTGCTTCAAACGTTCATATTTATACTGGGATCGCTCCTGGCCCGC